CACAAGAGCCTCTCGATCCGTGGATGTGTTTGTTCTCAGTCAACCACATCTTTTCTAACTTAACTGAATCACCCTCTCCATTATACTAATCCTCGGATTGCAGCCATCCCCAACGAGGCCTCCACCTGTTTCACTACGCACCACGAAAAAACGATTGCGACTTGTGCTGCCGGACTTTTACTGCATGTTACCAGCTACACATTTACTGTGCATTTCAGACTTCATGTTTTCTTCCTTTGACTTGTTGGTTGCCAACTTGACAGTTACTCTGACCATGTTTCACATCCTGGCCGCACTGTTTTACCACTTTCCATGTTTTTACTTTCCCTGCGGACAGAACTTTTCAGCCTGCTCAAGCAACCACTTGCGATTGTCATCACTCGAGTTCCAGCCGCTACTCCACCATGGACGCACAATGGCAACAGTATTACTGGAACCACTACTTGCTCCAGCAGCAGCAACATCAGCAGCTGACCTCCACAGAAGGCGCCACCACCCATCCTTCCACAAGCCACCACTCATACAACCCCACCGGCACATATGGTCCACTTACCCATGCTCTTCGCACTCACCAGACTCACCACACGCAACCGTACACACCACCACCACAGCCCACGCCGTCACAACTGACTCCACCATCACAGCCAAAGTTCCCGCCGCCACCACCTCTGCCACTGCCCACAACAGCTCCAGTCACTCCACCAGGCACATCTTTCAAACACAGTCCACAGCCAGGAGCTGGCGCTGGCCCGGTTCTGCACCTCCCCCACCACCCCACCACCCCACCACCCCACATCCCATCCCCCAAGCCACCCCTCCAAGACTCTTGGCACCAAACTGACCACCATTGGGACGCCAATACTCTTCACGGCCGCCAGCTCTATCGAACAATACAACCTACCCAATGGTCACGGAAGGCCGGTGTTGCCGGCCTCCCAACTTTGGACATTTTTCCCTGGCAACTCGCATACCACGGCACCGCCGAGTATACAGCACGCACCCTGAGCCATGGGAAGTACACCGGCTTCATCGCCACCCGGAGTGTGGCCGAATCCGTTTTTTGTCATCTCCTCCAGGAAATCCGGGAGAAACGCCTGGACCTGGACGCCATCGCCGAAACCCTCCACACCACACAAGGCACCGATCCCCAGCAAGACAACACAAGCACGGGCCTTCCACGCCCCTTTGATCAACCTCCTTGTCCAGCAACTCCAATCCCACTCACCGGCACCGGCAGAAGGCGCTGCTCTACGAGCACTCAAATCCACCACAGACGAACTTGCCCGAGCAAAACAGAAGCTCCACAACTTGGGCAATCCCCTTACCCCCATGAAGGGCACCAGCCGCACCACAGGCTCTGGAGACCCACCCCACCCACCGACCCCACCAGCACACAAGCCACCCGTCCTGGCTGACGTCCTGCAACCTCCACACCCATCCCTGAAGGACGACATCCCTGACAGCTGGACGAACGCCGACATCCAGCATTGGGTCACCACTTTTGACCCAGCAGTCCAAGAGGCTGCCAACGAAATCCTACGCCTGCTCCAAACAAGCAAAGTGACCACACAACAATTGAAGGACGCAGCCACTCGCTATGGCCTCCCTCTCGGTCGCGTCAACCGATTGCCCATCCGCAGCCTGCAACACCTGGTCAGCGTAGGTGCAGCCATTGGCTGCTGACTCGCTATTCTCAGCCAGCAGCAACCCAGCCATACCACCATGCAACATCTCTTTCACCTCCACCGCGCCTTATCCATTTTGATCCACCACACCCAATACATCGAACGAGCAGAGGCCATCTTTGCGACCGGCCTCATTCACATCACACTACTCTTTGCATATCCATCCACAACACACCGATCTCAACAGTGGCGCAACCGCTTCCGCCAGCTCCACATTCTTCCACATACCTACCACTACCACAACTTTCTTTCCCAGAACTCCGTTTACGTCAAACTCTACTTCAACCCCATTCCACCACATCGTTGTTACCACCAGCATGGCCACTTTTACGTCGGCTCCACAGCCATTGGCATTCCACACCGAGAACACAACCGCCGAGCCAAGCTCAAGCAACTCCAGAACAATATCCCAATTTCGGCAGAACTCTCCTTACGCTATTGGCATTCCCACAACAACATTCACCACTACACCACCATTCAGCTCACATCCCACGACACTTACGATCAGGCCTGGATCCAAGAACACCATCACATTGCCAACTGGATGCCTACACTCAACTGGCCCTTCATCTCACACCACCTCAAGCTTAAAGCCCAAGGTTGGCCATTCACCAAACATCGAGCGCACTTTTACTCCAGATTGGCCACTCACAAACGTCTCTTTCGACAACTACGACAACGCCAACAGACCATCAGAGAACCACACCTTTACACTTCCACCAAACACCACGCTCTCATACTTCTCCGCAACCTCACCAAACACACAGCAGCCTCCTTTGAAGCAGCAAAACAACTGCGCAGCGGCCGCCATACAGACCTAGAAGTCTACGCCATCAGGCGCATGGCCGCCAATCTCGAAGAACCAGGCCGCAGCAGAGCTCTCCATATCATCAACAAAGCCCTCCTTTTCCGCAATCTTACACCACCCAAACCAAACATCCCACTCACAGTGCCTTTCCTTGCGCACGACGACTTTACAAAACACTGCCAACAGTGGCTCCGCACCACCATTCAGCAACACAAACATTTGGCCATTCCCCTCCACCTCCCGTCTCATCGCCTACGTGAAGCAGCCCACAAGACCCTTCGATCCCAGCTCCACAACCACCGCACCTGGGAAGACACTCTCCATTCACCACCTGATCCAGCAGACCTCCCATGCGCATGCAACCACCTTCGCAGTCTCCTCCAAGATCCAGACACACCAACCACCAACGGCCACTACATTCTTACACTGGACCAGCTACATCTCCCACCACACCTCAACATTTTTCTCAACGCCAACATGAGCAGCACCTACTATCCCAGCAAGGCACGTTATTTCCTCACTTTCCAAACGGCCTACACAAAATGGCTCAAGCTTCAAGGGCTTCCACCATCCCTTACACATCATTTGGAACCTTTCCTCGAGCACCAATGGCGCCTCCACAACACCCATCTCAAACAAGAACCCCGATTTACAGCTCACTTGCTCCGTCAGCTTTAAGAATATCTCGGCCCACACACAGTACTTCACCACGCTGACCACGAACTACAGCAACTCCGACTGTTCTGCCCTCGCCAATATTTCACCGGTGCCCTCAACACATGGCAGTCTCCCGAACTTTTTGAACCACTTCCATACCTTACAGTCGCAAACATCCACGACCATCTCAAAGCCACTGTCCCCCCCATCCTACGCACCCGCTACAAGTGGGGCTTCCGCAAGGATTTCAAAATCCCCTATGGTGTGGTCCACCTCAACAAAAAAAACCAGTGGCAGAAAGGCCGCACCATTATCTCTTACTTCCATTCACTCAGTGGCAACCTCCTACGCATCACCAGCTGTGCTCTTGACATCATTCTCCAACACCTCTACCCACAGCATCCAGGCCAGCTCTCCATCCCGCAACTCTGTACGCCACCAACGACGACCTGGTGGGCTTCTTCAACTCGGTTCCACAGCATCGTCTGATCGACGCAGTCCACTCCATGATTCACCACTGGCAAACATAACAATCCACACACACCCTCACAGTGGACGTTCAAGCAGCAGGCAACCCCTTCCACCACTCCCACATCGGCCGACATCACCACAAACACCCCACACAACGTACCATCCAGACTTCCGACATCACCACCATTGTCGCCTACGCACTCGACACCTGCATTTTCCGGGCATGCAATAACACATACAAACAAATCCTAGGGGCTGGGATTGGATCCCAACTCTCTCCAGCCCTATGCAACGTCGCCATCACCCTCATTGAACACTCCTGGCACCAGATCCACAACAACTTACTTCAACACACCGACCTGCACTTTGCATACTACCGATATGTTGACAACAGATTCATTGTCCACAACGAACACTTCCTCCACCACCCAGCCATACAAACCCTCGTCCATCACAACTTCTTTGGAGACCCAGTGAAACTTGAACCAGTTGACGACTTCCACCTCCTGGGCTTCAATATTGACCTACAACAACGTACCATCACCTACATTCAACCTCTACAACCCTGGAAAATCAGGGATGCCACCAGCGCCGGGAGCCAGCGCTTGGCTCTATCAGGCCTCCAATCCAGACTTCACACCATCCATAAATACACCTTTCCACCTTCAAGCGCTGAAGCTGCTGCCACTGAGCTAGTGAAGCTCTATGTCCAAAAAGGACACAACCCAACTGCTTGCAGCCGGTTTTTGAAAGGAAAAAGCGCCGATTACGGCGACCTGTGTGTGTCAACCCCTGTGCCGAAGGGTTCGCCACCACCTTCACCTTCACCACTGTTTCACAAGCAGGGGGATGGAGAGGACACGTGAGGCTCCATCCAACGAAGCTCCTCACGTGCTCCTAGGATATCATCAGGGACGCCTGATGACGTACCTGCGCCGTGACACCACTCCACTCTTCCTTGCTGTGTTTTGATGCCATGGTTGTTGATCACGATACTCCCCCCCTCAAACAGGTTTCCCACAGCTGCTTTCAGCCGCCGTCGTTCAGCCGCGTTTCTGCAGACAAGTGAACATTTTGTTCAACAATTCAGTTGCGCTGACCCTTTCACCTTGCGTTTTCCTCATTCCTTTTGACCTGGGAACTGAGTTAACTGAATACCAATGTCAGAGTGTGTGTTCATTTTTTTGCTGGAGAAACCCTCCAGGAGGAGCCGAAGATTCGCTCTCCAGATTCCCTGAACAGCTGAAGCGACGTGGGAGGAGAGTTGGGGAGTTTGAACCTCTGGTGGTCCGGGACGTTGTTCCTTCAACAGACCGGTGGATATCCCCGCTGACCCAAGCATCACCCACCCACTCCCCGGGAAGTCGCCGCTAAGCGGCAAAGGCTCGTGACAAGCAAGCGATGTCCGAGGTCTTGGACCGCCGGTCCTCCTGCGTCGTCTGAGTGACCAAAAGAGCAGAAATCAGCAGAAAAGATAAACCAATTGACCAACCATTTACTAATCCTGAAATCATCCCAAGACGAACATGAACATCCATTCACGAGTCAGCCAGTCCTTCTTGGCCATGAGATGCCGAGCGGCCTGGCCATGCCCCATGAGTCGGTGGGGAGAGCGTTTGCTGGCGCGGTCCCGGACTCAAACCGTGGGTTCTGTGTTCAACAGAACCGCGTGACTGAAAAGCCCTCAACATGAAATGTCCTGTCATTGGGTGAAGGCTTGATTCTGAGCCCAGTGATCTAGTGAATCTAGTGCGTCAGCAGAGCACCTGAAGCAAACCCCCTGTGTAGCATACCCTTTTCCACACATCATATACCAGTATACACTATATCTATTTTGACCTGGGCAAATTGAGCGCAGAAAGAAGAATCACATGTGCCACGGATCCGATTGCAAATTGGCTAGTGCTTGCAGTGGTTGCCAGTCCCCATCACCTGTATACCAGTGCTTAACCTGATTTCTGGGATGTGGCAGAAACCACGGAATTCCTCAAATTGATACTGGAAAATCAGGTCGCGACAGGAGAATGTTTCGCGCTGTCCATCGGGACATTTGAAGAATTTGCTTCCCAGAAAAATAAGCTGGAATGTACGGCCGTAAACAAGATCCGGGCTTGGCATCGTGCACTCCTGTCATAGAAAATTCCTTTCCACTATAAAACACCTAGAGTTGTTGCAACACATTGGCCCACATAGTCACATAGTGCTCTGGGATCTATAACTCGAGCACCCCCAAACCCACTCAAACCCATCATATCCATCATCCCCCCAATCCGTTTCGGCCCTTGGACAGGCTTCCGGATCCGCCGATCCCCGGCCTTGATCGCTGCCTGCTTAAAGATGGCTTCGCCCGTGCTCGAAGCAGACGTGAGACCCATGCCGCTTAGGGAGCGAATGAAGGACGCCAACTCCTAAGCCAACTCCGAGGAGAAGAGACGTGACTCACGACGTGTCCTGAAAGTTAGTTGAGAGACGTGATTACACTCCGACGAACACATCACATGGAAGTGGAAAACCTCCTGTTTGTAAAGGAAAGTAGTCTTCCACGGGGTCATGCCATCCACTTCCATGTTAGTGAGTCAGAGAGTACGTGATGTGATTTTTTTCTGATTACGTTGAGAGACGTGGTGCGGAACGCCGCGGTGTCCTGACACCTTTTTTCGAAACCGAGGATAACGTGAGAACAAACAGATCCAAAGAGATTGATTTCTGTCATCAGAGTTACTACTGGAATGCTTGAGCTAGCTGGTTGATCTTGTATCAAAACCTCGTACAGTGGCTGGTTCACAGTAGAATTCCTCTTGGGAATGGAATGGGAACTGCCAAAGCCTACGGCCTACGGCCCACGAGCGTTTTGCATGTGTTGTTCAGGCGGGGGGCTGAGGGGCCAGAACCGCTCTGTGAGACCTCTGCAAGGCCGGCCGCGCGAACGGCGATCGGCGTCTCAACGACGGCGCCATCGTCTTACGATGGGATCTTACAGCGGATGCCAAATCGACGAGGGGAGCGCAAATCGACGATGGGGGCACCACTCACCCGTCAGACTCTGAATCCGCCGTGAGCGGGCCCTCCACTTGGCAGGGGTACCCTAGTTTTCCCCCATGTGTTTGAGGGCTCGGATTCTTCGGGCACATCAAAACAACATCCAACTCTGAGCGCAAAAAGCGATCCAAAACACCAGAGGCTGCGAAGAAAAAAGGTTGATAGACTGAGGAGACTTGTTTGAGATGATAGACGTGTCCTCCAACTTCACTCACATTTCCCCACCATCCGTGGGATTCACTACAGCATACTGTATCCAAAAAAACTAGAGTACTTCACATCAGCCAGAGATCTAGCTCAGAGGTCCTAGCTCAATGGTCCAACCATGGTCTGCATAGATTGGGAGATGTGTGCGGAAGGTCCAATCCGGAAAATGCTGTACCTCTAACCTCTAACCAGGGAGAGTGTCATGCGAACACAGCGTCCTGTCATAACTTGGAGGTTAGTCTAAAGTACTGCGACATCCTTCTGCGCATCCCCCCTGATCTCCTTCTGCGACATCTGAGGAAGCACTTTGCTTCCGTGATCGGCCTGGTCGCACGGACAGGCACCAACAGAAAGCAAGAGCATTTCATGTAAAATAAGATATCACCATAAAATGAATGGCTTGTGAGAGGGAAGTAGTACGTAAAAGAAAAGGATACAAATAATGATATTATATGAGATTAAGAGGGTCATCGTCAAAGGTTACTTGTCGAGCCTTATCCCATGGGTTGTGAATTTCTCAAAACCCATCTGTTGACACCACAACTCCCAGTCACTCTGTCGCTTTTAGATGCCTGTAGCATCGACGGCTAAGCCCCTTGCAGCTTTTGAATGGCAGCTCGGGAAGTTCTTCTGTGACAGATTCGCTTGAGAAATTGATCTAAGAATGGTAATCCAACAGCTGGTGCTCAGCTGTTCTTCTGGGAAGCGCCATGGCAGCATGCCTACAGAATTTCTATTGAGCTCGAACTTGGATGAAGTGGATCTGTACTTCAATTGGTTTACAAAAAGCAGCCAATGACTCTTGAGGCTCTTCCTTCTGTGTTGTCCAATTGAGTCTCAGTATCAATATTGTCAATGGTGTCCTACATGTGGGGTCAAAACCAGGACTTCCAAAACCTGGTTGGTTTGCCTCCCAGGTCGTCCATTCTGAGCTTGATGGGTTTACCCCTTGGTCCGCCCATATTTTCAAAGCTTGGCAGAGACCGTGTAGACCACAGACCCCCTAAAATGATCCCGTAAAAACAGCTCAGCTCAACCCAACAAGTGCCCCAAATGGACGGCGAATGGTCTGCGCTTGCTCCGTCGGTGGTTGGGTTCCGTCCAGCTCTCGGTGTCGCGCCAAGTTTTCGAGAAGATGAGGTGAGGCTTGGCACATCGACAGCATGGTCCTGACAGACAGGACCGGCCGGTGAAAAAGGAAGCTGCGATTTCGCAGAGCAGAGGAGGTGCAGAAACTGTAAGGAAGTGCGATTTCGCACGTGCAGAAACCTGACCTTGGTGGTAATCTGCTATCGATGTTACTTGGAATTCTGGCGCGAACTGGCGCGGAACTCCTCAGGTTCCGGAACTCAAAAAAAGAGATCATCTGCTTGGCCAATTCCTTTCAACAATCTCCCTGTTTCACCATGGATTTCTGCCAAACCTGGCCTCACCGGGACAGGGTCATAGGCAAGCATAGCATAGACTCTAGGCGCTTTGGACATGTGACAGGGGCTTTGCCCCAACGATGTTTCTGAACATCGTATTTAGGAACAAACATATAAATATATAAGTAGCAATTTAACATATAATCAGTTCCGGGTGAAGAGAATGCCCCGCCAGCTGGACAAAAAAGAAGATGATCCGCCTCATTTTCACCCAACACTACGGGCGCCTTGTGAGCATCACCAGCTCGGAGGCACGCAGGTTGGGGATTCGCTCGATGGCCTAGTGATGGGAGTGAAGGATAACTCTAGGCTCTAGCCGCTCTAGCCTCTAGCTAGGAGAGGATGTTTTCCGGGAGGTTCAGATGGTTCAAAGATAGAATTTGGAGTCTGGAGAAGTTCAAGAGATCTTCGAAGAAAAAAAAACAACAAATCCACATTATTGAAAAGAGAGGAGTCTGCAGCAAAGTCATCTTGCAGAGTCCATGTCCATCCATTTCCTTCTATCATGTCGACTGTCTAGCGCTGGGCGGGTACAACACCTTCCCTTCGATCTTCTGTCGGCTTGTGCCAGCCTTTGGAAGGAAAATGAAAACCCTGCCCTACAGAGCAGGGTTTTCTGCAACTTGAAGATGGCTGCGGGTTGCTCGGGTTGCTTGGGTTGTTTAGTCCCAAAGTTTGTTCAAAGCGACTGCGATGAACTTCCCCAGCGAACCGCTTTGTGGCGGCGGGAACCCCGAGTGTTCCCGAGACGGGCCTCCTCGGTAATGTCCTGATGCTGTGGACCCGGAGAAGAAACACGGACGGCTACAGTAAGTGATCGTGATGGTCGTAAGTGCCTTATGCCAACAACATGTTGGATGGGTAGGTGGAGCACGGTGGTGGACCTTGACCAAGCCAACTCCTGAACAAGAGTCCTTTATCGGCTGCAAACTGCAAACAACACGGATTGATGAGTTTGACCCCCCCCCCCCCATGTCATGTCCGTTCTCGAAAGAGCCATCGTGGAACAAACAGTGCAAACATGTGCAAACGCTGAAAGAACATTCCAAGAAACGCCGGTTGCAAAATCTACTCCCATTTTCTATCATGTTTTTAACAAAATACTAACACACACACACACTGGAGAAGGTTGCTCCATAGAGCGCGATTTCAGGCTGCTTCGCGGAGTGCATTAGCCCTTTAAGATTACTGCAAGTTAGACCTTGACTAGAAGAAAAGTGCAAAGTCGGTCAAAACTGAAAGTTGCAACATGGGTGAAACGTGAAAAACTCGATTGATGAATTAGTGAAAAAATGCAGGTACGTGGATTCTGCGTCCAGAATCCATATCAGTGACTCGTAACAGCCTCTTCGTTG